GAACTAAAAGCCTCCTTTCTTCTTTGAAGGATTTTATTTATTTAAAAAAAATAAATCATTGAAATTTATTTCAATCCATCAACTGAGGGTGATAGATATCTCTATTTTCAGGAACTATTGAAAGTAAATATTATTTTATTAAACATATATACTTATTTATTTATTATAAAATTCGAAGAAATAAACTTTACTACGGTGAACTACTATTTATTGACTATTTTTTAAGTTTATATCGATTCATGCAGGAAAGAAGTATCACAGTCTCAAGAGAAACTAAATTTGTATATTTTTATGAAAATCACTATTGAATTATTTATCTTGGTTCATTAAGACAGAAAATAACGTAACACAACATTAAAATCATAATACAATGTAGATTCAAATTCAAATAATAAAATTCATGACCATAATTATATGTAATTGCGTATAACGGAATCCAATAGGAATCCAACAAGATTCCTGTGTTTTTAAGGCGATTGCATACAGCGCCTCTATGCAAGATCGTTTCCAGTTCATTGGGAACTACGTAGTGACTACCGAGTTCATACGGTTCTGTGTTAGATGTCGCCACCGACCCATACGTCAAACGTTTGACAGTTCTTCGAGAATTGAATATAAACACATCGCATTCTAATATTGTCTAGGAATATAAATTCACAACAATAATGGAAATTAGATATTATATATGTATATATTGATTTATACATCATTAGACGTGTACTAGCTGCCTTGGTTTGTTTGGAAATTGGATATATAAATGTATATTGATTTATACATCATTACATGTGTACTAGCTGCCTTGGTTTGATTGGAAATTGAATATACAAATATATATATTGATTTATACTTCATTAGACGAGTACTACCTGCCTTAGTTTGATTGGAAATTGAATATATAAATGCATATATTGCTTTAAACATAATTAAACATACACTAGCTGCCTTGGTTTAATTTGAAATTGGATATATAAATATATATATTGATTTATCATCATTAGACGAGTACTACCTGCCTTGGTTTGATTTAAATTTGGATATATAAATCTATATATTGATTTATACATCATTAGACGTGTACTAGCTGCCTTAGTTTGATTGGAAATTGAATATATATGTATATATTGATTTATACATCATAGATGTGAGCTAGACGCATTTGTTTGATTGGAAATTAGATATATAAAAGTATATATTGATTTATACATCATTAGACGTGTACTAGCTGTCTTGGTTTAATTTGAATTTGGATTTATAAATGTATATATTGCTTTATACATCATTAGACGTGCACTAGCTGCTTTGGTTTGATTGGATAATTGGATATATAAATGTATATATTGCTTTATACATCATTAGATGTGCACTAGCTGCCTTGGTTTGATTTGAAATTGGATATATAATGTATATATTGATTTATACATTATTAGACGTGTACTAGTTGCCTTGGTTTGCTTTGAAATTGTATATATAAATGTATATATTAATTTATACAAAATTAGATGTGTTCTAGCTGCCTTGGTTTGATTGGAAATTTGATATATAAATGTATATATTGCTTTATGCATCATTAGATGTGTACTAGCTGCCTTGGTTTGATTGGAAATTGGATATATAAATGTATATATTGATTTATACATCATTCGACGTACACTAGCTGCCTTGGTTTGATTGGAAATTGGATATATAAATGTATATATTGATTTATACATCATTAGACGTGTACTAGCTACCTTGGTTTGATTGGAAATTGGATATATAAATGTATATATTGATTTATACATCATTAGATGTGTATTAGCTTGGTTTGATTGGAAATTGGATATAAAAATGTATATTCTTATTGCAGGTCCTTATAACTTATGAAAAAAAAAACAAGGAACATAAACAATTTAACACAAACATGATATATTGATGAATTATGCAATGGTATACCGGTACCTTCTATTTCTAAACAGAAAAACAAGATTGATGAATTAGAAGATCACAGCTTCGAGTAAGTTTTTTTGCATGTGAGATTTATTTTATTCAAATGAAATTTTAAATATTTAACAACGATTTAAATTATATTTTTCAATAAATTAATCAATTCACTCTAGTATATAAAACATCAGTTTCAATCACATGAAATCACTAATATTCTTTGAATAAATCAAGTTTAAAAGTAATAAGATATTCTAATAGTTTATTTTACAAAGCAAAGTTTGGACAAAATTACTTTTCGCACACGATAATCTAAGAAAGTATCAAATATGTGAATTGGTATAGTTACGCAGTACACAAAAACAAACTTTAAATGGTATAGAAAGCAATTCAAGTGAATGTAGATGAATCAATTGAATTGTTTACTATAAGTGATTCTAGATAAATTTTTCATTGAATCATCTTTATACTTACAATACAACTTTGAAGAACTGAATATCGAATATTGCATTGTGAATGTGTACAAAAGCATCATTTAGTTTTAATTAATTATTAGTGAATTGATAATTGATGTTGATGTGCTTTGAATAATAAATTGCTTTACAACAATCATGTATTTTAAATATTTGTTTAATAGCCATCAACATTGTCCAGAGCAACATGCCTATTCAGATTTCCTGACTCCTAAGTATCTTTTGAGTTGTGAATCATACAATGGAGCACCTTCAACGCAGACTTTTGGAATACCTCTGGGATATTTGGACTTGACCCGGCCCCATTGCCACTTTTTTCTCTACCTAGTTTGTTTAGGCAGACAAACCTAGGTTTGTTAAGGTTGATTTGAAATAATCTGTCGACAGCTTGCAGAGGCAACAAACTACAGAAAAGGATGAACAATATTACACATCTGAGCTTGAATATTATAATGATGTACAAAGGGAGTTGAAGCAAACAAAGAGATCTTTGTTCCTTTGAGAAGTAGTTAGGCGAGAGTGTAAATGTTTAAAGAATTGTTATTTGTATATTTTATATTGACCCTTTAGACCAGCAAAGTATTTCTTGTAAATTTTTCATGAGCTGTTTAAAACCTTTTAAAACAGCTTTTCACACAACTTATAACGTTCAATTGCATTAATATTGATATTGTTAAGATAAACAAAAAGCAATTATGTTCTGGAAAAATGTACATACAATTTGAATTATAACTCCATTATTTCTAAAATTTAAACTTTGAATGTGTGTGATTAAACAAATAAGTTTAATTAATTTTTGAGATAACTGAAAAAACATATGTATCTATTTTAGTTATAAACTTTTACTTATTCTTTTTAGATTTACTTATTGTTATTATATTTTATTTAGTACTTAACTTAAAGATCCATATTTATTTCATATTACATACTTACAAGATTAAGAAATATTTCCATTAAAGCAATGAATGATCAGAGTATTCGAATTTCTAATTTACAACTAAAGTGCAAAACGAAACATAATATATATTTAATTATATGTATTTAATAAAAAATTTTCAATTGCACAGTAAGTGCATTTAACTGTGATATATTAATAAGATGATGTCTCGGAAGTACGTATAGTTACATGTGATATATATTTAATAATATGTATTTAATAAAAATCTTACAATTGCACACTTAGTGCATTCGACTGTGATATAATAATAAAATCGCTTAGAAGTACCTTATTAAATATAGGACAAATTATATATTAGTTTTAAAGTTATGTATTAGTTGTTATATTTATAATATTTTGTAAATAATATAAATAAAAATATAAATAATTTAATTTGATTCTTTTATTATAATTTTTTGTGCATTTTATTGATTTTTTCAGGTTGCTTTTGGCAAGCAATAATTAATAGCCATATATAAGAATTATTTTTAATAAATTATAAACATTGAATTACAATCATGCATAGCAACATCTATTTTATTAAGAATTAAATTAATTAAAAACATTATTTATATTGCATATTTTCTATTATTTTTAATATTCAAAAATTCAGCATTTAAAATAATTACCCCTAGCTTTTTAGAAGACGCCTCTGTGCCACATTAAATAAAGTTTCATTCTCGAAAAGTGACTGTTCCCCTGGTAGAATGGATAGATTTTAGTTCGAGAAACCTTTGCAAAATTAAATTTTCATACAAAATCGATCTGATGTATTAGGAGAACAGTCACAATTCTGAATTAGACAGCGCGCTTATATTACCCAGGACCGTCTGCTGAAATGTTAGGGGTAATTATTTTAAATATTTATCTAAATTAAAAATGCAATTTATTGTTTTGGGATATTTTAATAAGTTTTGGTAATGGGAATATTATTTTAACTTTAATATTATCATATAAATATTGCTAAGAGTTAAAATATGCAGAAACTATACGATAATTGCAAAGATTAATTTTTCGTGTATATGTCAGCCGTTTTTACACTTTCTGTCAACGTTTTCGTAAAAACGGCTGTACCGATTTCAAAAATTTATGAGGTTTCGGATGTCGTTTGATAAGGACTCTTGTTGATTAGTTTTGCGCGACAATTTGTCAAGCCGTTTCTTTATAATTAGCAGAAATGTGCAATATTTTTTGTTCACGTTTCAGCCAAAAATTCTGAACGGATTTTAGAAATTTAAAAACTGTTTGAAAGACATTGTTTGGGTATTGTGTTGACTAGTTTTTTGTGAAGATCGGTTCTGCCGATTCTATTAAACAATACCAAATAAAATTTATTTTGCTGTTATTAGTTAGTTGTAGTGTACTCATAAAATTAAAATACATTTGTTAGTGATATCTAAACAAATGCAATTATAATAATATTTTTATTACACTTTTTAAAATATTTAGATATTTGTTTCAAATATTTAAAGTTATTCAAAATGCGGCCCTGGTTTCTTGACAATTTTCGTCCTGCAATTTGATTGGTTGGTTTCGTTTGACAGCTCCAAGTATATAATGGCGAACAATGCTTTGTGTTTTAATAATATTAAATTAAGTTATTTTGTAATTTTTTCTATACCTAAGCAAGTGTAGTTATTATAATAATGTGTGTTTGAACTATTTAAAATGATCATATTTGTTTAAATTGTTTAAAGTTTAAATGCGAGCCCGCTTTCTTGATAAATAAACATATGCTGCTGCGAGCCTGTTACATTTTGACAGCTACAAAAGACATTTGTCGTTCGACTCTTGATGTGAATTTGCAAGATTAAATTATTCAAGATTTTGTTGTAGTTCTGTGCTTCAATTATTGCTAATTTTGCATTATTTATAGTGCCGATTTATGAAAATAATGAGAATAATGAAAAAACATATTGAATACAAGAAAAAACATAACCGACTGAAACGATTTTTAAAAGACATTTACATCTCCCTCATTGTAAGTTTCTAGAATTTTATTTAGCGAAATGAATATTCTTTACTAATATATTAATTCTTTAGGAAGATGCTGTTGTTTAAGATCAAGTTGCCATAATGCAGTACTGGATTCTAATTCTTAAGGAAGAAATAACATATTTACTGAAAACATCATTGATGTCTTCATCTGAAGCAGAATTCCTGAATCGACATCATGCTCAATTTTTAAATCATTTGAACATAAAGTGATTAAATTAAAAGATGATCCTGTTCTGACAGGATTCTGACCGTAAGTTGCATAAAAAGTTTTAATATGAAATATTCTCTGTTTATATATGTTATAATTGATTAAATTTCATTACTGTTGTAAATAAATCAAGACAAAAAACTAGGTATAGGAAACTGTTGTTTTTTATCGTAATTATCATTTTGTATGATAATTATTCAAACCAAACATTCAATTAAATCATTTTATATTGATCAAACTTTAATGATCTAGTAACAATTAACACTATATTTAGTATTGCACAACCTTTTGATATTTGCAAATGACTATACAATATAATTTTAAATGTAATTCATGTCTTTATAACTTTTAAGAAAACAAAAAAACATATTAGAAATTTGAATCAAATATGATGTATTGATTTATATAATTGTATATAACTATTTATTCGCTCTTATGTTGCTATAGATACCATTCTCAGTTTATAAATTTCTAAACTGTCAAATCTATTTTAATTTTCAATTTATTTAAAGCATATTTTTTACTTTCTGCTTGCAAATAATTATTTTTCACAATGACGATGAGTATTAATCAAGTTATCCATAAAAATATCGAGCCAGGGGTAATAAATAATGAGATTCTTATGAAAGCACTTTTGGAGCAGGGCCCGCAAGGTGAATCTGGCAGACTTTATAAGGAAGACAATATTAATTTTGAAGAAGTCAAGAGTATACGATTGGAATTTTTGAGTGAGTAAAAATATAATATTTCATAGTTGTTTTCAATAACAATAAATGGAAAAGCAAATACTTAACATAATACATTTTTTATATATTTACAAGCATTATTTAGTATATGAAATTTAATTTTCAATATGAAATTATATACATTTTTAGTTTGACAGTTTATATTACTAATGTAGTTTTAATGCCATTCTTTAATAATTTTTTTAGATATTCTAAAAATAGATCATCTTTGGATGTTCACATCGTTGACCAAACTGAATCTTTCAAATAACATAATAGAGGAAATTGAGAATATAGAAATGCTAGTCAATTTAAAGGAACTTGATCTTTCTTTTAATTACATAACAAAGATAGCAAATTTGAGCACTTTGGTCAATATAGAAGTTTTATCACTTTATCAAAATTTTATTACTGACATTGAGAATATAGACTCTCTTAAGAAACTGACTATTTTAAGTATAGGCAATAATGAAATTGAAGACGGACCGAGTAATGTAAGTAATATATTTAAATATATATAATGTAATAATATAGTAACTGCTTTTCCTGCAGATACTGTATTTGAGGCAATTTCCTTGCTTGCGTTCTCTGAACATGGCTGGAAATCCTTGTTCTAGAGCAGATGATTTTAACAGTTTTCTGACTGCATTTCTTCCAAATGTAAGTGATTATTATATTAAATATAGTCATAGTGGAATTTACAATAAAATAAAAGTTTTGAAATTGCTGTAATAGCTTAAATATTATGAGTATCGTTTGATTCGTCCAGAAGAACGTCAAGCTGGGATGAAACAACATGGGTATGTAAAAGTACATTAATAATAATAATAATAATAATAATATATATATATATATATATATATATATATATATATATATATATAATATGATCTTTAATCTGAATTGCTAATTAGCGAAGAACTTAAATCAAATTTAGATATGAAAAATTTAGATATAAAATGAATCTATAACACACTTTTGATATTTTTAAAATAATCATATGAAAAAAAACCTTTTTTATTTTTTCTACTGCTCATTATATATTGTACCTAATTTTTCTATTGCTAGCTGTTAAAAATAATTCCACATGATACTATTTACAAAACTGATGAAAACTAGGTATCTTTATCAGCTAATTAATAAATTTTTATTAATTTTGGATATTATTTTTTATCCAGACGAGATTTGGAAAAACTAATGGAAAGAGAGGCTGATCAAAAGCAGCAAGAAGATGCAAAGGCTGCTGAGGAAGCTGACCACGAATTTTACAAAAAATGTTACGTAGAATATCTAAACGGCCACCAATTTTTCTTATCTCTTTTTACATATGATGTTGAAGGCCAAGCATTGTTGAAAATTGGAGAATCTGTCCAAGATGTCTATAATGAGTGAGTTACTGAGATACACTTATTTTAGAATTAAATTTACAGTCAAATTTGTTGGTTCAAAGCAGTTGATTTTTTGGTATTTTCTTATGGTAATAAGATATTTGGTAATATCTTATTACTGAATGGTGGTTTCTTTAATATTTTTTTTTGAAAAAACAGAATAGAAACAGTAACACTTTTATTAAGTAAGTAAAAATGTTAGTAACTTATTTTGTTATGAATGATTTAAATAAGAAAAAAAAAAGACTAGAAGCTTCACTTTTTCTCTAATTATTCATTTAGTTTCTCATCAGAAATATTTTTTAGTTATGGGGATATGGGATGTTTCCTTGGTCAATAGCCTTGCATTATTGAAAAAAAAAATTAACGCTCACTAAAAATTAAATTGCACATTCACCAAAAATTGTAATAGAAAATTTCTTGAGCTATATGCATAGCTATACATAAACAAAAAATGAAAGCGTTGATTCAAACATAAATATAATTATCAACATATTATTTTATAATAATTATACATTCTCTTTGACAAAACATTATTTCATGAATTTAGATATCAAGATAATATGTATCTGATCACCCAGCAAATATTTAAGTTTGGTCAAAAACAGCATCATATTCGAGAAGAAGAAACTAAACAATTTCATCGTTGTATACAGGAGACAAAAGACAAAAACCAGGCTGAAAGCCAAGAGTAAGTAGCAAATATTTTTTAGGAAAATGAATGAATGAAATGAATAAATTTTTATAAAAGAAGTCTAATATAATTGCTAACACATCAGGAGGGAAATTAATTAATATAATTTCCACAAATTTTGTGAAAAATGATTATTAATTCCTAGTTTTTATTTAATAATTCAACATGAACATAAATTAAAATAAACTTTGTTTGTTGTGAATTTATATTTTAATATTATTTATTTAATTTTAAACAAAATTCAGGTTGGTTTTCATAACGTAATATAATTATATTCCAAATAAAATAAATAAATAAGTCAAATTATTTAATAACATTTATTATCTAATTTTGTTATATTGTATTTATTTATTCTTTCTAATTTTTGTTACCAAAAATATAAAGTAAATTGTTAATCATAAATTTCAGAGCAACAATGAATTTTATGAAGGAACGAGATCGAATATTTGGTAAAATGAGAACAATGATTAAAACTTTAGAAGACAGCCCAGAAATCCGTCGATCAGAGTTCACTCAAATGGCTCAACAATGTACTGATGAGTTTAAGAAGTTAATGGAGAATGCCTGGAGCACCCTCATGGAAATTGAACAAATCCTTTTTGAAGGAATCGATGTAAGTAGATAGAGAGAGGATAATAATTAAAATAGAATGTAAATGTATTAGAAAGTTAATACAAAGAATTAGTGGAAAAAAATCTTATAAGGGTAATGTCATATTTTGTCTTCTAAGATTTTCATGGAACTATGCTGATAGTGTATATAGTCAAGTATAAGTATGCTGATAGTGTTTATAGTCAAAACAAACTCCTTAAAATATCATAGGATTATGAAAAGTGGTTTAATTAGAAATGTTAATTGAAGTTTTGAAAAATAGGCCGCTATTGAAGGTTTTCAAATAAGAATAAGGAAGAGCATCCATCTACATCGTCCTGGTTTTGCTATTTATTGTTTAAATATTTGAAAATAAAATATGATTGGAGATTAAACACCACGTGGAAGTTTATATAATACTTTAAACTTTAGGAAGCAAATACCACATTTGGCCATAACATGGAAGAAATGGTCACCATTTTCATAGAGGGTTGTCAAGGATATTTTGTCCAAGCACGTGAAGCAGAAGTGAACTACTCAGGCCAAGTCAGTGAAATTGCATTGAATTATTTAACACAAATTGAGACTCAAGGTCCTGATCCAGATATGGCAGAAGATTTAAAAAATGTAAGATATTCAAAACATACATAATTTTGATGTTAAATATAACTGTAAATATATAAACTTTCTTTATTACATATTTTTGACTTATATTATTATTAACAGTACGTTTTTTTAGATTATGGCAGAAAAAGATGCTGTTATAAATGCAATAGCTGGTTCTCATGATGTTCATATGCAAGCTATAGATGCAAGGGAAGATGTTTTAATGCAACGAATTAAAACATGGCTTAATTCATTAAAAGATACTTTGAAAAGGTAAACAACAACTATCATTTCATTGAAATGCTTCTATCATTTTGCTTTGAATCAGTACCCTAATTTGAATTTTTTTCTGGGCACGAAATTACACAAGCATGAGAATTAAAGATTAGAATTTAATCGAGAATTTATTAATATTATGTCAGACATGATTTTAATGAGTTAAATTGATTTCCAGAGATGAAATTGCCAGAGATAGACTTAAAGTACTTGAAATAAATCATTTTCTTGACATACAAAGAGAAGAATTTGAATCAATACAAGCACATTTTAACATTCCAATAGTTTTGGATGAAATAGTGGACGCAGTCAATAAATCAAACATCCAATAAATTACATAACAGTATTTATATTTTTATTAAAAGATATGAAATTCATAATATACAATTTGAATTATAAAATTTGCTTTTTATAAAATATAAAATTTATTTTTTAGTTTTTAATGATTCCATATATACTCCCAAACCTTTCTGGACTTTTGGATCTTTCACTGCAAATACAAATAATTGCACATCTTGATCTCTATTTTCTTCTAAGGCTTTTAAATCTTCAGCTCTTAAAGCAAGTTTTGTTATTGTTCTAGCTTGTGGAGAAACTCCTTTAAAGCGTAATAAAAATTGTTCTGCCCTAGCTATAGCATCAGCTTTGTCATTAGCTATTTCATCAATTAAGCCAGCCTAGAAAAATAATTGATGCATATATAAATTTAAATTTTCCTATAAATATTCAGTTTATAGATATATTTACTTTTAATGCCTCTTCTGTTGTAAACATTCGGCCAGTAGTTAAAGCTAGCTCAGAATCCCGTTTTGACAAAACATTTCTCATTGAAGCTTGGAACCATGTTGGTGCAACAATACCTAATTGTGTTTCATTTAATCCTATTGTAAACGCATTGACCATTACACGATATTCACAACTTAATGCCAACAAGCATCCACCAGCTGGAGAATGGCCCTGAAAAGTAAATACATTTATTATACTTTATTCTCATGATATTATAATTATAGTAAAATATTTTTATAGAGGTAGAGTTCATATCCAAAGAAATACTTCACAAAATTGCAATAAATTAAATATCTGAACTAATACAATAATAATTACATTAATTGCAGCTACAGTTGGGTAAGAAGATCCATATAATTTTAGCCACACTTCTTGCAACTTGCTCCAAAACGCTTTAAGTCTATCATCATTAGGTTTGTACATTTCTGTAATATCTAATCCTGCACTAAACACTTTATTGGAGGCCTGTAATAAATTAATATTTGACAAAAAGTAATATAAAACATGTGAAAATGATTTTTATTTCATAAAAACTTACTGATGTTAAAATCATGCCCCTACATTTATTTTCTTCAACTTGATCAAACGAATCCGATAATTGTGTTAAAAGTTCTAAATTCAAACTATTTACTGGCAGTCTTTGCATAGTAATAGTAGCAAACCCTGTTTGTTCATTAACTGCCAAATCCACAAATTTTTCTGCATTACTTGAAAATTTCCTTCTGGCCAACCCATTGCTAAGGCAGCGAATACTGTTCATTAAACGAAACATTTTCTGTAATATCAATAAATATATTAATTTAAGGTATTAAAAACTGTCTGCAAATGTTTGTCCCAAACTGCAATTAATTAGACTAACACATGGACTTTGAGCTTGTTTACACAAACTGGTAAAATCTATTCTTATATATTGTTGAAAACAATTTACAGATAAAGAAATAACAAAGGTATCAGCTATACCTTGAATAATCAGTCTTTTATTAAGAAATTGGTGCTATTTGTTCACTCTACTAAATTTTTCTCTCTAGTGTTTTATCATTGCTGTCACAATCACAACACAAGAATGCATTCCATTTATTTATTTTTATAAAGAATATTTGTAGGCCAGCGAAATGTTCATAGGTGGATCTAGGAGTTTTGTGATCGTTAGAAAGATAAGAATTACTTAATTGATGAAAATTAAGAATTAAGGTAAGATTTGAATTATATTAAACTGCATCAACGATTGGCAAATATAAGTACAATATACTTTATTTCATACTAAATACTATTTACTAATACTAAACAAAAAATAATCTACTAAAGCTACTAATCTGCCTAATGAGAGTAAGACATAGTTAATCATTTAAATTAAAGCCGCCATTTCATAAGTCTCAGATGATTAAAACTAACAAATGTAAAATTATTATAGATTTAGGTTTATTTTAATTTTAAATCAATCGAATTAAAAAATATTATTTTAGTAACATGTTGGTAATAGATAGCGCCACGAATTTGAATTTCAAACGACTTGAAGTTCGGCGATAGTTGACAATAAGAATTTGACACTTCGACATCGTGTTGGAACAAATATATTATACGTGTTTTATTATTTTGACCACTTTAGAAATTTTCTAAGTGTAGTCACGTTTTTTGAGTAAAAATGGTAGCAGCAGATACAGAATCTGCTGAAGATAAATCTTTAGAAGTTGAGGAAGTTTCAAAACCAGAAGAAGTATCGCCCAAAGTCTTTAGTCTTGAAAGTATGTTTCCACAATTCCCAAGAAAAGTTAATATACCTTGCCCATATGCTAAACCATCATATTAACATAAAAATTTAAACTGATGTAAATATTTAGCAGTACTGTTACCGAAATTATCAAATCAGTAAATATTTATAATATGTTTTGCATAAAAAATATTGTATTCCACTTATTACATCTTAAATGTAATAAGTGGAATTTAATTTTTATCAAAGTAGAACTTTTTAAACCAACACCTAGTTTCTATTAAATATTTTTTAATTTACTTTTTTCACTCATTTAAAGTTCTTCGTGTAATTTATGATGCCCAACAACAGCATGGGTTGAGACATGGAGACTATCAAAGATATCGAGGATATTGTTCAAGGCGCTTAAGACGTCTCAGGAAAGTGTTGAAAATACCTCAGGTATTAATACATCAAAATTTATAAACATATAATCAATGATGTGCAATTAATAAGAATAATTATCATTATTAGGGTGATCGAAGACATTTCAAAAAGAGGGATGTAACTGAAAGTCACTTTTTGGCTCCAAAGGCTGATGAGCGTTTGCTTCATGTAAGAATGTAATGTTATATAACTTATTTATTAAATTGAAATGAATTGTTATAATTATGATTTTCTAGATATCATTAAACCAAGCCGAAAGATCATGGAGTTATGCTATGCAGTTGCGGCAAGAAGCTAACACAGAGCCAAGGAAGAAGTAATTTTTCTTTTACATTGATTTTTTTCTTGAAGATGTTTAGTAATATATTTTCATTGAAAAATTTTAGGTACCACCTTATAAGTAGGTTACGAAAAGCCTGTATGCATGCACAACAATTGCATGAATTGTGTAAGGTAAGTTCAATGATATAAATATATATATATATATATATATATATATATATATATATATGTATATGTATATATAGTAAATGTAAAATTAAATTAGTTTATCTTTATTTTAAATAGTTAGAATATTGTGATGCTCGCACAAAGTTAGAGGCTGAAGCTTATGTGGCATGGATCCAAGGATCCTTGTATTTTGAATTATCTATGTGGAAAGAGGCAGCTGAAAATCTAAAAAAAGCTCAAATTGTTTATGAGGGAATACTTAAAGCCCTCAATGACGAAGATAAAGCATTTTATCAAAATAAAGTGAGTATACTTCTCTTTGTTTTCTTCTTGGATTTATTTTATTTGAAATTCAATTAGAGAAAATTCAAAATGTAGAATTGATATCTTTTTGGATTAAAGACTACTCCAATTATTTTGGCATTCAAATTTCAAAACCTAAAAATAAACTTAACTTAAAATGAGAAAAGCAATGAAATTATGTTATTCTTTTCATTTGGTGAATGATACCATATAACCAAACCTTATATTGGTCTTTAGATTACTTTATCAGGAAGATTAATAACTATCCATTGAAACATAATTTTTAACAAAAAGATATTTGTAACATATTGGGTTTCTTTGATTGCAAATTTGTAGAAATAGTAATAAATGACACTTATAGAAATAAAAATTAATTGATATAAAATTGGAACGTTTCCACAAAATATAATAAGAAACAAGTAAATCAACCTGTTTTATTATTCAATAGATTGATGAGATTACTCCCAGTTTGAGATATTGTGCATATAATATCGGTGATGGAACTGCTATAGAAGATCTAATTCAGTTAAGAGGCAAAGGATTGTTAAACAATATAGATCAATTAGTAGCCCAAACAAGGTAACATTAACAAATTAATTATTTAATTAATTAATTATTTCAATTATAATATGTTTGTTTCCACAACTTGTTATGAGTAAATAATTTGAAAATATTTTATATAATTATAATATATATTTTATATTGGTTAATTTATATTAATCATTTATATTGTTTATGCTTCAATTTTATCCATATAAGTTATATCTATCATATTATAGTACTGAATTTTTTCTTTCTTTTTTTAGAGAACGAAATGTGGAGAGTTTACAATATGTTGAGTGGCGTGGTAACAAAATACCTGTTCGTTTAGAACGAGTAAAATTATTCTTGCTCGGTATTGAAGATTTGGACAAATCAATTTCAAATTCAAATGATGTAACATCCAAGATATCACTAATTGAAAACACTTTGATGGATTTGAAAGATACAATTTCAAGTGTTAGGGATGAATTAAAAAATGATAAAACCAAGTCAAGCTCACAAATGTTGTTGACTTATTTATTGTACATTCGATTAACAAGAACTATTGAACGAAATTTGTTGCTTGTAGAACAAGCTCAACAAGTAAATGAAACAAAAGAGCAATCTAATAAAGCAGTCAATAAAAAAAAGGCATTGGGTAAACCAACTGAAGGAAAAACAGAGCCTAAGAAAGTGAACATTCAAAATATTGCTAGGTTGTATGAGATAATAATACAAAATGTTTTAGAATTGCAACAGCTTCCTGGTATGGAAACAGATGACTCTTTCCTATCAGAGATGGATATCCTCCTGAAATCTTTTAAAGCTTTTCGTTGTTATTATATTGCTGAAATTTTATTGAACATGAAACGCCATCGTGATTGTGTGGCTATGTATGAAAAGTCACTCAGTTATTGTAAAGAAAGTTTGATTCATAACTTGAATTCCTATAATTTGCCACAACAATTAAGGAAATTACAAAAAACTATTGAAGGATCCAAATGCCTTGCACATGCTCATAGCGTTCTTGATGAAGAAGGACCTGATGATATGGGTACTTCTAAGAAGAGTGCTAAATCTAAAGTACCTCTTTTTGATAGGCAAGTCTAGTTTATTTAATAGAGAATATTTTATCTATAATGCTTAGTATTAAGTTCTAATTATATATTTCTTTGTAGGTTGTCTGAGTACAAAGAAGATTCTCAGTTACTGACAACTAAGCCAAATGTATATGCACTTCCTCCAAAAATGGAAGCAATGCCTTGTAAACCCCTATTCTTTGATTTAGCTCTTAATTTAATAGAGTTTCCAGATTTGAATGATAAAATAGGTGAATCTCGAAAGCAAGGAGATAACCAAGGCATAACTGGGTTTGTTAAAGGATTGTGGAGCTGGAGTGGGAATAAAAAATAATGTTCTTTACATTATGGAATATTATAAATATATAATAAGTATTCAATTTGTTTTTGGGAAATTTGACAAACATTACAAATAAAGATTTGTAAAAATTTTATTTAGTTGAAATATGAATTTTAATATTGATAAAATAATCTTAAATGTTTTGCTACAAATATATTAAATATATTCGACATAATATATAGTTTTTTTTAGTGTTCTTATATAAATACATTTTAATATCCATATTAAAAACAAACCGTATTTTAGCACTTAAAAGAAAAATGTTTACTGAATACTTTATACCTTTCTCTACAATATTGGTTTCAGACAAGTTTTGGAATTTGTTATATATAAATGTTGCATCTGCTATATTTATATGATTTGATGTCACGGGAACCTAAGACAGGATGACAAAGAAGACACAGAAACCAAAGGGGCTCATACAAATTGTGACAATTTTGGGTCCCTTTTCAACGGACAATCAATAAAGAGGGTGAGTGTTTAGTTAGATATATGCATAAGATGAAATTTTATTCTCAATTATATTATATATAACATAGTAGTTTCTAATGTTTTCGTACCGAGCAATATTTGAAAATTATACTTTAGAAACAGCTGAGGAGGCTCATATTAATGAGTTAATTAAGTATTTAGGAAATTAAGAACATTTCCTAAGGAGAAATTTTGCCATAAAATTCAATTTACTTATATTTATATTTTAATTCGAACAGATTTTGGAAATTTAAAAACTTATTGTAAATTGTGCTGACTAGCTTCTGGTCGAGATCGAACGGTCCGTTTCGTCTTGATTATCAAATTTATTGAATTAAAAATAAATTAATTAACCGTTAGAACATGTTTCAATGTTTTGAATAGCACTTTCATAACGTTGGAGTTCATTTGTAATGATAAAACTGCGTTATTGTACGCACAACATTACTCAAAACAATTTTTATGAAGGAATTGTTGTGAAAATACTATACAATACTCAAATTCATTCTTAAATGTTAGTGAATAGATGAATAGAAAACCAATCAAGTATGGTAATCTTGTGCGATTAAAAGAGAAAATTTGAATAATTTCACAACGAGAAGATGTTGAAATAATCAAGACAAGCATTTAATATGAAAAATTAGACGCAGTGAAAAAATTAAAGAACCAATGAATAACGTAACAATATTTATATTTTTATTAAAATTTATGAATTTTATAATATACAATTTCTATTATAAACAATGTTCTTATAAAATATTAAATTATTTTTTAGTTTTCAATGAGTCCATATAAATTCCCAAACCTTTTTGGACTTTTGGATCTTTTACGAATTCGAATAATTGCATATCTTGATCTCTATTTTCTTCCAAAGCTTTTAAATCCTCAGCTCTTAAAGCAAGCTTTGTTATTGTTCTAGCTTGCGGAGAAACTCGTTTAAACCGTAATAAAAATTGTTCTGATTTAGCTAAAGCATCAGCTTTGTCATTAGCAATTTCATCAATCAGGCCAATCTGGAAAAATCATTACATATATAGCCTTATAGAAATTTATATTTGAAATAAGAGCTTACTAATAGCTCCTAAGACTTTTGTCTTAGAATTTACTTTTAACGCCTCTTCAGTTGTGAACATTCGGCCAGTAGTTAAAGCTAGTTCAGAATCCCGTTTTGATAAAACATTTTTCATAGAAGCCTGGAACCATTTCGGCGCAACAATACCAACTTGTGTATCATTCAATCCTATTGTAAATGCATTGACCATTACGCGATATTCACAACTTAATGCCAATAAGCATCCACCAGCTGGAGAATGGCCCTGAAAATTAAATATTTTTATATTGGGAAACAATATTTTTAAAACTGCAATGTTTGTATAGCAATTAAAATGAAAAGTTCAAAAAATATTAAAATTAATACAATATAATGATTACGTTAATAGCTGCTACAGTTGGATAAGATGATCCATATAATTTCAGCCACACATCTTGCATTTTTCTCCAAAATGCTTTAAGTCTATCATCATCCGGTTTGTACAATTCTGTAATATCTAATCCTGCACTAAACACTTTATTGGAGGCCTGAAAAGATATAAAACAATAAATATTTGATAAAAATAAATAATATAAAATATGTAGAAATGATTTTTCTTTGCAAAAACTTACTGATGTTAAAATCATGCCCTTACATTTATTTTCTTGTACTTGATCTAATGAATCTGATAATTGTGTTAAAAGTTCTAAATTCAAACTATTTACTGGCAATCTTTGCATAGTAATAGTAGCAAACCCTGTTTGTTCATTAACTGCCAAATCCACAAATTTTTCTGCATTACTTGAAAATTTCCTTCTGGCTAACCCATTGCTAAGGGGGCGAATACTGTCCATTAAACGAAACATTATCTGTAGCACACAAATAAAATTATTATTTTAAGATAATTATGTTTAATTTGTAAATTGTCTACGACTTCTTGACTTACACGTGCAATTTGATTATATCCGACTTAGAAAAAAAAGAAATCTTATAATTTTTGTTATCACTATCATCACCCTATACAATATTTAATAATGATCAAAACATAAAAAATGCAATTCATTTATTTATATTTATATAAGAGGGGGTATATAAATGATATATGATCATAATTATGTAAATGCAATTCATCTGTTTATATTTAAAAGCAGAATATTTGGAGACCAACTAAGTGGAACGTTTTGTTGGCCTTCCAAATATCCCATACACTTGGACCTAGAAGGCGGAAATAGAAGTTTTATGATCGTTAAAATGATAAGAATTAATTGAAAAACATGTAGGGCATGGATTGAAATTATTCGAACTTCATTGACTATAGGTGAATAATAATTTTATAAATAATACACTTTATTTACTTCGCCTATGATAAGTTACAGCAATCGTAAAAAAATAAAAAATATATATCTTTACATTTCAAACCCTGTTGTCCTTAAAAAAAATGCATGTGATATGTTTCTTGAATCATTCTAATCGGATTTTTTGCTGCATATCTCTGAAACGGCTGGACTTGCCTTTGCCAAAAACGAATCAGCAAGTCTTTCAATCAATATAAATCCAACGATTTTTGAATCATTCAAATCGTTTTATATGTGCCCGATTCACGTCAATTCTTTGTCAACGATTTTGGGCACAGATCAACTGGTTATGATTCAAAAAACGTTCGAATTATATTGAAAAGAAGATGTGCTGATTAGTTTTTGGCAAAGGCAGGTCCAACCCTTTCACAGATATTACAGATTCGAATAACATTTTGCTTTTTGGAAGTTGGAATTGATTTGAGATGAAGAAAAAATTTAAATGAATGATCATATTTGATTCAAGCGATCGTTGTACAAATCATTATTATTGACTATTATATAGGTATAGACAGGTAGACACATGGTAGACATGCAGAAGGGTAGACAGAGGTAGACCAGTACATTACATTTATGCTTTTATGTATGGACTAATATACGTTATGAAGAGTTTGATAATTTTAATTCATATAATTAATTTCATATTAATTATATATGTACATAATTGATAAGAATCTGAAAGCCTTTAAAAATAATATTTTTTTTCAAACAATTATCATTGTAGTTGTTGATGGCTGTTTTTTATTTTACTATTTAATTATGCTTTTTGGAAAAAATAATGGTTTTTTATAAAAAGCCATTATACAAGACTTTCTTCATTGTGCGTGCTTTTTTTTTTTTTAAAAAAAAAAATCAGTTATTTCGAAGAGTCAGCCATTTTGCTGCTTAAAAAATTTGATTTATGGCGGGAAATTTGATGTGTTATAAATAATAATGTTTGTAATAAAATTTAATGTTCTTAAAACGTAATAAAATATTGATGAAATAATTTTAAATGTTTTGCTGCAAATATGAAAAACGTTTCAACATATTTATTGCTATTTCATAAGTAAATTTTAATATCCTAGTTCGGAAAATGTACAGTTTTGAACAAATATTATAATTTTATTCATTTATAAAAGTTTTATATAATAAACGGTATAACCGCCAAGACAATATTAAAATAATATATTCGTATTTATGGATATAACCGCCCATTTTCGTTTCGGACGATTGCATGATTTATAAACATTGCAGTCGCCATTTTTTATGAGATGTCAAAGAAGAAGAATTTACTAAAGTTTCATATAAAAAGAAGACACGAAGACCGAAGGGGTTATCAAAAGTGTGACAAATTTAGATTCCATTTCAATTGATAATCATATAAATAAGGATAAATCTCTAGAGTGAGTATTATTCAAATATTTACCAATTATTTTAGGTTAGGTTGTTGCATAAGCTTTCATTATTTTACAGACGAATACTAACGTCAAAAAATGAAATTTTACATTCAAAATTTTATATTAATGTAAAAACATTATTTAACGAGGTAATTAGTGAATTAGGAATTCAAGAAATTAAAAACATTATTTGTTTTGGACTTGGACACATTGGAGACTGTTTATCGTCACAATATCAGTTAGCATTTTTATTAAATATTTGCGACGAATTCAATATTACGAATACACTTGTTTATGATCCAATATTTAGTGAAATAGAATGCCAAATTTTACAACATTTTGGATTACAAGTTGAAGCTACAAATAAAGAAGGAAAATATAAAATTTGTCCTAACGAAGCAACATTGTTATATGCTCCACATTGCCCAAAACAATTAATGAACAATTTTTTGTGGAAGAATTGGGAAGAAAGTTTAAGCAATTGTATTATTATTGGCAATAGTTTTTCACAAATAGTTGAAACAAACAGTAAACGAATTCTTGAAGAGCAAGCTGCATATTTACTAAAAATTTGTCCATATACAAAAGAATTTGACATTGAAAACAATTTCAAATTTACTGATATTTTTAACGATACATCAATACACTCATTTCCAAAAGAGAACATTAAAGACCTGCTTTCAAAGTTTTGGTTAGACAAAATAGAGCCAGCTTATATCTCAGATGATATAGAATTTATCACCAATGCTGTTTGCTCTGAATTACAAATAACTTAATAACTACCACTAAATTTTATTTTGCTAAATAGGTCTCATTAACACCATGGCTGTAAACGCTGCAAAATTATCCACTTTGCGTGGTATACTACATGAATTGCGACAAGCAAGCTCTGATAAGAAACTAACAAATTCTCCTATGGCAAGATATGTTTTGGATCAATACAAAAAATTTAAAACAACTGAACAACAATGGTGTACAGCTGAAGGTGAAATGAATTATTTAGCAAATACATATTTGTGCTATTTGAAGAGCCAAAGAAAATATGAGGAAATAATATCCTTTTACAAAGCTAAAGGAGAACGAACTGTGGAAGAAACAGCTCAAATGGTCGGCTTTAAATTACCACATGACCCAAAGTGAATGAAGAGTTCAAAAATGCAGTAGTTTATTAATAAGAAGTATACATGTATAACAAAAAAATATATAAATCGTAAGTGAAACTGTTATAGTTTATCTTTTTCTTTCAAATTTCCATTTATATACAGGTGGTGCTACTTTTGTTGCTGGGGCTATTCTTTCTGGTTCTTGTAGCCCTTTTGATAATAATGCTCTTTTTATTTCCATCTTCTGTTGTATAACTGATAATTCCTTTTCTCTATCAATACGTTTTCTTAACTCCTTGTATGAAGAATGTCTAAGATTGTCTAGTTTATTCATTGTCTGAAATGAAAAATTATTAATTGGACATTTGTATCACACAGCACTTTTAAATTTGCATAAATGGTTTACAAACAAAAGGAATATTTTAAGTACCTCTTCATTAACATTGGGTAACTGCATTTCTTCTAATTTTGAAATTCTTGGGCGATTTGTTCTACGACCTAATAATCTTTCATCTGTGTCCAATCTTTTAGCTAGATCAAAATTTTTCATTTCTCGTTTCGAATCAAGGAATTTATGGGTATTTTGAGTTGTATTTGCAGCATCAATGAGGTGTAATTCACTTTGTAATCTATAAAAACAATACATTACATATAATACATTAAATATAAATGTGAATAATTCTAAAATTGACATACCTCCTAATTTTGTTTGCCTCAATGGTGCGTTTCATATTAATGTACTTCAAATCTTGTGTTTGCATTAATTTAATTTGGTCTGGAGTGTGATCATCCTCCTTTTCTTTTTCATGGTGCTCCTATTGAAATTCAATAGTTCATATGTACAATTAGTGATCACCTATATAAAATTAATTACAATGGATGCACAATACTCACCCCATCTTCGATTTTGGAGTTGATCATATGAAAATAAAATTCATCAGGATTTTTTATTAGAGCTCTTTTTCTCAGAACCTTCAAAGCATCTTGTTTCTCATGATAATCTTTTGCCCAAGCAACGTAGTCTTTCTTTTTTCTAAAAGACCTAAGTTTTTTCTGGATTCTGGTTGATGACGTTCTCTGTGTATTCTCTGGTGAGATTTAGCAGCTTTTTTCCAAGACGACATTGTGACTTATACGAATATTATAATTAACTTAATTTACAGTTAAGTTTATAATATTCTACAACAATTAATTAATAATTGATAAACAGTAACGTGAC